AAAAGACGAATTTTACAGAAACCGGAGTAACATAAAAGACATGACTGTTTACAGAAAGCGAGTGAGGTTGAATGGTGGCAAGAGGCTAGTTTTCTCAAGACTACTAACCCCATCACCATATGCAAACGGCCATAGCCTATGCAAATGTTGGGTTGTTTTACTTCTTCCTGCTGTTTGGCCACCTCGATCATTTTTTGGTAGCTGCTAGAGGCTTTCAATAGATATGTTAGTTTTTTGAGTCTCATGAACAAGAATGAGACTTAAAGTCCAGAAGCAGTCTCCCGGACTCTCCGGCGAAGGAGGAGAGGGACTGGGAACTCGTAGGTCGGTTGACTTGTCCGAGTCAGCAGATATGTGTAGTTCTGAGTTTGCTCTCGCTGTAATGAAACTGGGCTAGTTTCGGGCTCGGAAAACTCTTAGTCGGTTCCCCTCGGGGCGCCGCTTTGTTGATTATTCATGACATCACTTGTGAACTTTCCCTAGTCCTCTATCTTGACGTCCAACTCTCACAGCGACTATGGCTCCTTTGACAATCGATTTTACTCTGAAGCTGTCTAACGGTGCTGCCTTAGTCTCAAACACACTGTCTTTGCTTCTTACAAGTCGATAATAGGCTACGAAATGCCTCTCCTAGGTTTAGGAGTCTACCGAAACTAGGATTGTAAATGTGTTTCGGACATCTTCCAGGTCCCATAACAGTATTATTTAAATCAATGACAGAAACTGGATTTTGAAGAAGATTTACAGAACAAAGAATGCTAGTACAGAAATGAGAAATCTGATTGTATAAATCGTTACGCCATAGAAAAGTCCAGTCAAAAATCGATTTTACAGCTAGGGAACTCAGTAGTAGAGATAGTAGAATGAATCTTTGCAACCAACGACAGCGATAGTCGGAAGTAGAGCAGCGAGTAGACCCTGGAGGATGCCGAGAATCCCACCGACGAGGTCGATGATGAGCTTCAAGAGCGTACCAAGGAGATCTCTGTTGTGGGTGGACGATCAGTATCATTCTCAATATATGAAAGAAAGAAGGAAAAAAAAAGAACACTCACCCAACTTCGGCGAATAAACCACAAACCCCGTCATATTCAGCACTCACAGTAATTTTGAGGACGATACTGAAACATCCAAAGATCAGGTTGTAAAGAGTAGAGATGAGATTGCAGAGGTCCAGCAACGACAGGACGAGATCGAGCGCAGAACCGACGAGCGCTTCGACATCCGAGATGGCGCCTTGGAGAATGCCTTTAATCTCGACAACGACAGGTTCAATAGTCGCAACAGTGCAATCCTTGGCGGGAAGGGATTCTGAGAAGCGGAAGATCAGAAACAAGAAAGAATAGGGATGAAACAGAGCCTACTGAGATAGTTGACGTGGGGAGTAATTTGGACAGTGACATCCACGATAATGTCGGGAAGAGACTTGCAGCTGCTACACCCACCACGAGCGGCAACCTGCACATCGTTGGCAGGTACCGGTTCAGGGTTGGCCAAGGGGGTGGCGAACGCGAAGACGGCCAAAGCCAGGGTGGAGAAGACGGAGAAGAAACGCATCTTGGTCTCAGGAGAGATACAATGAATGCTGGAAATTAAAGGGTTTATATACGCGCTCTGTATTGAGACGCGTTCAAATTCGTCGTTTTCCGCTCGAAGATCCCAAACTCCTTATGATTGAGATCGTTGTAAATAAGAAGCTCTTGAGGTCAAATATCGCTTTCCCGGGTGTTCAAAGATCTCCGTAACTGAAGTGCAGAAAGACCATCTTTGTACGAGGTGCCAAATAAATGTTTGTGTATCGAGATGCTTGAACTTGTCGACTGGTACGAATGGACTTGAAGTGTTCTAAATTGTAGACGACCGTCAGAGCAAGTAGCTTTTGAGACACGTCCCGAAGACATGCTCTTCGAGACACAGCTTTGTGAGACTCCCGTGTTGGAAGACTCAAGGAACGCCAAATGCCGGACCAAATAGGCCGGCAAAAGTGTATTCACGTGCATCTGTGCCTCTCGTCATTTCGGGACGCGTCTTCTGACTCTCGTCAGACGTGATTGTCTCGTATGTTACTCCTCCGAAATGTTACCGCTCGAGGTCATCAGACAGCTGATATTTTCTTGCGAGAAATTTCTCCTCGTTCCAGTCTCACTTCTATCTCACATGATACAGGAGCGAGCATGGACTCTTCTGCCTGACGCACTCGCCGTCATCGTCATCCAATCGTCAACGTTATTGACGGTCCGAACGACCATCGTACGTACTATGTATATTCCACAGGAAGTCATTTCTCCAAGATCATCATGCCTTCTTCACCCAACAAGCTCGTTCTCGTTGCAAGTCTGCTAACCCTGAAAGTTTTTGCATTGGATAATGGACTAGCGAAGACGCCTGCTATGGGTTGGAATTCTTACAATGCTTTTTTGTGTGTTATTATACTGGCCTCTTCCAGCTTATTCTTATTGTCTGGATAAGATGTGACACTACAGAAACGCAATATCAAGCTAACGCTCAAGCCCTGGTCGATTTGGGACTGGATAAACTAGGCTATCAATACTTCAATTTGTGAGAGACGTCTTCTCTCTTTCTCCTAGTTTCCATTTCGTGTCTAAAGTATCTTTCTAGGGACTGCGGATGGCAAGGCACGAGTCGTAATTCTACTGGGGGCTTTACTTGGAATACTACGACTATTCCATCTGGTATACCAGCACTTTCGGACTTTGTTCACAACCTCGGCCTCAAATTTGGTTTATATTCGGATGGGTATATCCTTCGGTAGTGATGGAACTTATTCTTACGCTGACACGTCCGCAGAGGTTTTTTCGCTTGTGATTTCGTTGGAGGAACTGCTCATTATCTTGGATCGCTTGGACATGAAACAGATGATGCTGCTTCTTTTGCTAGCTGGGGTGCCGACTATCTCAAGTATGACAATTGTTACGCAGTCAGTGAAACTGATTTTGTCGACTTTAATCCCCCCATTGAGGTAAGTTGGTATCTGTTCCTTCAGGTAGTCCTCGGGTGTTCTGATCCCCCGATTTTCAGATCAAAGTGAATTCATGATTGTCGTTTCGTCAGTACTGTTCCTAACATAGAATGATACCAGGATCACATGGTAGCTATGAGAGATGCGTTAGCAGCTACCGGTCGACCCATACTCTTTTCTGCTTGTGAATGGGGAGTCCAGGTGCGTTGGAGAAGTCGGCGGTTGCTTCCAATACTGGACATTTCTCACAGGACCCTGCAAGATGGCCAGGCACTGAAGTCGCCAACTCATGGAGAATCTCGTACGTTATATGACAATATCTCATGTGAGAACTGCACCTTTAAGATCGTTCTCCAGCAATGACATTGGGCCGCCACCTTCTTGGGATAATCTATTCCGTATCATCAACCAAGTGGTCCCAATAACCCAATTTGCCGGACCAGGGGGATGGAATGACCTCGACATGCTCGAGATTGGAAATGAAGGGTTGACCTTGCCAGAACAGCAAACCCACTTTGCATTCTGGGCAGCTGTCAAGTCGCCCCTGATCATTTCCACAGATCTAACGAATATCTCCCCCGAAGCGTTGTCCATTTTGAACAACACTAGGATTATTGCACTTAGCGTAGGGTTACTTTGTTGAAATTCTGTCAGCCTACTGTCTTACAATTCGCTCCTACAGCAAGATGAACTTGGGGAATCTATTAGCTTCAAAAGACGATACACGAACGACCATGACGTTTGGTCAGGTCCATTGTCCGATGGCTCTACCGCAGTAGGTTAGTACCATCCACAGTAAAACATAGTTGCACGTCCTCACGTTATCGATTCAAGTGGTATTCAATTTGCAGAATACTACCCGCGACATCACTTTCGATCTTCTTGACGTTGGATTTACTTCTGCAACTGCAACCGACATTATCACCGGTGAATCCCTAGGCCGTCTCACTGACGAGTCAGTACGCTGGAATCTGCATATTTTCTTTCTGTGACATCTTCCACATGCATATAGGTTCAATACTTCTCTAGAGGGACATGCTTCTCTTGTTCTTAAATTGACCGACGGGACTCTGTCACCTGTACCAGAGTTTACGTTCTATGAAGCCGCTGACCCTGCCAACACATTGGACGGTGGTGCCTCTACTCGCGTTGTCAACTCGACAGTCACTGTCGTCGGAGATATTGGAAACAGCGGTACACTGACGATTAACGACGTCGATGGCGGAACTGGGGGCGGAACAAAACTCGTCTCCTTCGATTATATTAATGGCGATTTTACGTTCACGAATACTGACTGCTCCAACTGTCGAAATGCATTCGTGAGCGTGAATGGAGGTGATGCTGTTCAAGTGCAGATGCCAATTTCCGGACAGGTTAGTCTTCTTCATTATGTCTGCATGTTGAAATATACATGTCTCTTTTTGTAGAGCTGGGACATCCTGTTCTCAGGATACCTCGTCTCACTTTCAGGATTCATGCCAGGGAAGGTCAACCAAATTCAAATTTCGAATCCCTCGGCGTTTGCTCCTGACTTTTTCCGGGTTGGGGTTGCGAATTGAATGGTGCAGTGATTGGTTTTTTAGTCCCGGGTTTCCTCCTTGCGATTTAAAGCTGTCTTAGCATCGAAATTGGCCTAAAATCATGAAAATATTCCTATATACTCTTGTCTGCATAAGTAAGGGACTTGCCGGGTTCCCCAATTGTACTAGTATAGTATGACAGATCTTAGGAATCCATTCCTTTGGGAACAACTTGTACTCGGTGCCGGAGATAGATTGCTTTATTTATTGATGAGGACTTGAAGATTTGACAAGATTTAGGGCTAAATCTAATCCACTTTTCTCATACTTTCCCCATCTGTGGGACATAGACCAAGTCCACCAGCCTCAGGTGATTTATCTTTGTAAGTGGATTATGATCGCTAAAAACTGCGGACACTCGAATTCTTGTAAGCTGTGAATATACCGTGTGCTTAGACGAGAGTTAAAGAAAAATCAAAGATAATCGACAATGAGTTATGTTCCCTCTAGCCGACTTGAACGACTGACCTCGTCATAGCTCGAATACTAGTGACGCGCTCTACCAACTGAGCTAAGAGGGACTACATATATTTTCATATCAAATGTGCTGAAAACCCGCGGGCGATATTCACGGGAAACTCCGGTCGTTAACGATTGACGACGGACGTCGGAATAGCGGCGGAAACTTACGGTAACTTGTAAGTGAACCGCTAGCTCCCGCTAAGTCTTCTTGCATAAATCCATCAGTTCGGTGAGAACCAAAAACCAGAAATTCGTAGGTTGTAACGGGTCTTACGCAGGGCCGAAGTCGGATACTGCAAAAGTACCTCGCTAAGATACTGTTACTCTTGAAGTCTACATATATGAGAGAATCAATGGACAGCCAATAACTGCCCTCAGACTAATGGCAGAATATATTTCAACAGCGCTGTTTTGGTAAGCATATCCTGAACGACAAGCTTTGAGGACGGGCCTACTCCTACTACACTTGTATTTATTGCGAATTAGCGTTTTACTCTATAAAGCGCAATGAAACCTTATGGAGTGGAAGTCTGCGTTACCGGGCGCGCTATTGGGTCTAAGAGTCTATAAACAAGAGACCTCAAAAGATTCAGACGCCATCATACAGTACAATCTAGAGAGATTGAGATCTTGAAAAGTTTGGACGTATATGCACCATAATCAGTGAAACAGAAGCTGAGATACAAAGCTATCTTTCAAAGAATCTAATTTTTAGACCTAACTAGTCACCTTCAGCCACATGCAGCATCTCCACTAATATGAATATGGAATAAACTACAAGTCTATTGGCTGAATTTTAATCGATTTATGCCTGGCTCTCAAGTAGCGGCATTACATAGCAATACTGAGTTGGATTCAGTGCTCCAAATCCGGCCAAAACTTGAACTGTGAGCGATTACTCGGACCATCTAATCTATTCACGAAGAATGAATTAAATCTCTGAACGTTGAGCTGGCAACTTTAACAGCACAGACTTTGGGGGGCCCCAATCTTCAGCTTGAAGATTCTATAGCCACCGAAGATAATCCTTACTGCTGGACGGCGAATGGATGCTGAGAGTTCTAATCTCACAATCTGTCGTGAAAAAAAGAATTGTGTCAGAATCAACGGCGATCCTACCCAAGTCCTTTGAATTTCGAATTCGATGTCCTAATGCAAGAAACACGTGACAAGAAACAGACCCGCACGCTCCTATTTAGTACTATCAACTCAACGTACTCAACGATGATCAGGCTCTCAGAAGGAAAGTTTTCCTTCGACATGAATACATTTCATAGTGCATGTTGTGTTTTGGAATTTCTAAACAGAAACACCCAGGAATACCTGCCTTTATGTCGACAAACAGAATGGGAAGAGCTACGGGATACATTGCCCAAGTAAGTGGTTTTCACGTTCAAACGCAGCCACTGCCGTCCTTGACCGTTGTTCATTTCAGAGCGCGGGTCTGTTTACAAGGTCCAAGAATTTTTGAAACCCAAGAAATCTATGATAGGGAATATAACATACCATTCCAACGCATGATGTGTGCATACCATGTGCGTTGGATCATGTTCCAACAGGCCTCTTTACTCACCGCAGGCAATCGAAATTAGAACTTGTCCGAAAGAATGAGACAGGTCCGGATTGCCTACGAAGTTCAGAGTTACATTGTCCTCAGGATGGATCAGGGTGGCCTCGTCAGGCTATCAGCGAGAGAATGGAATCAACAGCTTTTTCTCATGTCAGGAGCTCCACCACCGGCCTACTCTTCCGACATTCAGAACCTCGACTCGAAGATGGCACCTTCGTTACTCGGCCCTGGGTTGAAAGTAGTAACGACCTGTCCATATCCGTATCCTCATCGAACCACTCGCCTTCCAGCAGCTTTATCATTCTTATTATTCATACTATCCATCTACACTTCGTATTGGTGGCTAGCTACGTCCCCTTCGATCAAAATACACACTAATAAGACCATCATGACCGTTACCATTCCAATAACGATCACAATCCACCGTTGGCAAAGAGCTACCGATGTGTTTTGTATGTGTGCTTGCCTAGGACTAGCGCGTCACCCCTATTTCGACGCAAACCCTAGATTATTTGGCTCGGAACGGAAGTTAGTTTTAGATTTGCTACGAAGGTAAGAACAAGATTTTTTAACCCGGACAGATGCTGACAATGATCAGTCTCGAGACTTGGTCAAACAAAGTTACACCATTTTTCGGGAAGCCATGGATAACGGAGGATGACCGTACTCTACGAGAGTACAAGATGGTGTCCCAGCAATTGATACGGGCTCATTGGGTGGGTGTCTATTTGCTTGAGCAATTTATTCTGGGCTGGGTCACACACCTTTCACTACAGGACTTTCTCAATAAATTGCGGAATCATTTTGAAAAATGTAACGCTACAGCAAATTCAACATGTCCCCACTATACTTGAGCCGGAATACTTATGAGATAATGGCAAAATCTTTGCAGTCTATTCTATCTTTATGTTGTACTGTAAAATCTGTATGTGCTCTTTCGGCGATCTTTCCTAGCATATGAATGTGACTTGACGGACAGGCGCTTTTTTGGTGCCCGTGAGTCCTTTTAAAAATATGTATTTACAGAAAACGAGCGATCAACACATGATATCTATCTCAAAGGCAGGAGCCGCCGTGACACTCGCAAGACGCTGGTTTGTTCAAGACTAGTGGGTCTTGCAGCTCGCTCATGTTTGCGCCTTGGCGTCACACATTTGGCACTTTAATTATAACCAGATTATATCCAAAAAACTGGGTATAATTCAAGGTCACAAATGTTAAAACATGAATTGGGGTTACAGCTAGATTATAGACAGTTATAATCCTCTAGTGTCAAGATTATAGCCAGATTATAACCAGCTATAACCGGCTATAATCTGTTATAATCTGGCTATAATGGGTTGAAAACTGAACAATATTATAACATTTGTGAACTTGAGTTATAACCAATATTTTTAGATATAATCTGGTTATAATTAAAGTGCCAAATTTGTGACGGGGTGGAGCAAACAAAGTCAAACCTGTTCGTTTTCAACTTCACGCTGACGCTGACACTCTAGTCATTCCATCGAACAGTCATTATACCCATTCTTGGTGCGTCTTTTATATATCTTACCTTGTTCAGGTCATGCACTGATTCTGGAGATTAGAACATGCCCCAATATCTCGACATATACACTATTGCCTCCAATTCAATCCTTATACTCTGTAACGTTCTCCTTATTGTTTATGCACGCCGTTCTGCGATGGGATCAAGAAGATCAAGTGACGTTGAAGTCTGCGAAACTCGCCCAGAGCCCGAAGCACCTCAAACCGATGCTAAACTCGGAAATCTCTCGTTCCAGCATCCGCAAATTGCAAAAGTTGAAAAACTGTTTCTGAAGGGAAAACTGCAACAGTTCAAGAGAACTTATGAATACAAGACTTTCGCACTCGCACAGGAGACTGTAGCTGGTCAAATAACCTGCCTACTTGATATACTGGATAGCAACGACCCAAGGTCAGCAGGAATCCTAGCCGCTGCCAATGTAAGTGACTCTGCTTAAAGGATTGCAATCATTTACGAATCCCATTTCTAGGTGCTGCTTTCGTGGTCAAGAGAACCAACGTCAATCCGAACCCAGCGCCAGGTCGCTTTTTCCACATATTCAGAAGGACTTGGGGGCTCGGCGGCCCCTGCACCACCCACTCCATATACAAATTCGCCTCTTCTCTTTCAACGAAGATTATCTCTCAACAGCTCCCCGCCTTCATTGTTACTGCACAATACCCAGCCCTCGACGACTAGTTCTCCATTATTGTCCAAGCACACCATATCAGATGCTGTACTTCCCCAGGCATCACTGCACGAACCACCATCCCCACAGAACAGCGCGACACCTCCACCTGGTTCACCTAGTTCATCTGAATCAGCGTCGTCGGTATCTCATAATATACGAAATTCAACAATGCGCCGACGAATACAAGGAAGCTGGCCGGATTTGGCTTGAATACATTTCCCAGATATTTTTCCTACTCAGTAGATGCGACACCCTCCGAATCCTTCGCGTAACTGTATCAAATCTCATCAAACATCTTCACGCTGTCTGCTTCCTGTTTTGTCACTTCAATGGTGCGTATATTGCCATGACAGCACAACCTCTTAACAGACTTAATCTCCTTCCACTCAGAGTACTGGCCACTCGCGTACGTCACTGCCAGCTGCGAAGCTAATAGCCGACACCGAAATTCACACGAGCTTCTACACTTCAGCGACGTCCTCTCCATCACCATATCAACACTTTTCTTCTCTTACGACGCATATCCCCTCTTTGGACTTGTTTAGATCTCTATTACATCAACACCTCGCCATGTACTCTGCCCCTAGTGTCCTTTTTTCGTTTTCATACTTCTTAAACGCAACCTGCGATTGTTTTTAGGATGAGTGCGGATCAAAGCTAATGTTCTTAGACTCGTATAATACTGGTAACCTTCCATGTCGAATCCTACTGTACTAGAGAATTCATAGTATTGTTCATTGGTCGTATAGAATCGTTGTCTATTCATCTCAGTTTTCAATCAAATGTCGGCATCGGAATAGCCGCGGAAAGTTTGGGTGAACTGCAACAACGATCCCCACCAAGTCTTTTTACATAAATCCCTATAAAAGTTGCAGCAAACTTATGCAAAGCCGAAGAAGCACTGTATAATCGCCATCAAGTCTATACAAAAGAATCATGGACAGGAACAGCCAACAGTTGACTTTGGATTGATATTGAAACGACAGACTTGGAGATGTTTACAGAACAGGGCCTAATTAGGACCTGCCCATACTTGTATTTATTGCGTTTTTATATTGCTCTGGACTAAGACTTACATAGCCTTACTGTGGCGTAAGGGTAACTTATGGGACTGAAGCTGTTGCGTTACTGGATTACTGAATGCGTTATTGGATCTAAGAATTCATAAATAAGGGAATTTCCGAGGCTTCAGAAGATTTAGACAGCCATTATACAGTCTGATGGCTTATGAATTCTAACCAACTTATACCCGGCTCAGATAACGGCAATA